ACCGCTAGTGTCCTTTTCCGGGCTCGAAGCCGACTCCGGTAAAACTGACAACTCCCATAGCTTCGCTCCGCCAATCGACCTGCGGCCTTACCAGTAGGTTCACTCGCACTAGGAGAGACCTGCTGTTGATTCTGCGTAATATTCGCGAGCGGGGTCGTTGATATCGGGGAGGGAGGCAAGACCGAGACATTCAACGTTCCAGGAGCCGCAGCTAACTTCTCCTCAATACTTGGCGGACGCTCCCATTCCACCTGAAAAAGGTTTCCAGGCAGCAACACATCTGGCTCACATCAAACTTGGTGGCTATCTCTTCTAATGCATCTAGCACCATATTCTCGCTCGGCGGTGCTATGGTCAGAAGGCCTAGAAAGAACATACCATACCATAATTCCCTCACATCGTCTTCTCATATTACCCACAAGCTTTGGAGCTACATCTTGAGTGGAATTATCTATATGTTGTTGGCACCAAGTACGACCGTATTTCAAGTCGAATTGCCTCACACAATTGGCCATCTCTGGAACCGTCAACCGCTTCTCCGCATAGATTAACGTGGCGACCGGACAGATAAGGTCGGGCGGGCATTCCTTTAAAACGCATCATAACAACACTCTCTAGTCTACTATCACCTTCGACTGATCAATGTATTGGATTCTCGTATAAAGCAGCTCACAGTGCGTTTCCAGGATATCATAGGCGCTCTCTAATTTCTGATTAGCGATCAACTGCTCAGCCTTGATCCGAGCCTTTTCCTCTCGCCCCTATAGAGCCACCACGATAAGGGGATTCACATCCAATCATACTACCTGTCGGAGCATCTCCGCTATCTCACGCTCGGCCACCCGCTGAGACTTTATCACTTTGTTCCGCTGTAGTGTGCACCGTTTGCCCGCCAGCTGAAAAAGACCAATCATCATAGGGCAGGAAAGGCGAGATGATTCCACCTGCAGGTTAGCCTTGCATGTGGAAGCTTTCCAGCGGTCGAAAATGCCCATGACGCTCTTCTTGAGAGAAGACATCGAACGAACGATCCACTGGAAAACTGCACAACTCGAAGATACCGCGAGGGTGATTCGAACCTGGGTCTCAGCGAGCCATTGTTTCGGTTCAGCTGAACCTATTCCAAGCTGGCTCGATGAGCATTGTAAGAAGGCGTCATACGAGCCTAGTAGTTAATGCATAGTAAGCTCTTGTGAGTGTAGTTCGACCAAATCAATTCGCACATTTCCACGACTGATCGATCCGTTAGAGAACTGCAAGAGAGCAAGATTTTCGATATCTGCACGTGTGACGAACTTGTTGGTCCGTCCGCCATGAGGGTCGGTATCAGGTGAGTATCCATATTGAACACGACGC